AGTGAAATCAGTTGCTTGAAGTAAAATCAGGATTAAAAACAAAAACAATAGTAAAAAAAATGGATAAATAAAAAGTATAGTTTTAATCAGAAAAAAAGTCTTATCTTATCAATCAGACCAAGCGATTAAAAAAAGAAATGTTTTATTTTATTTTACTTTATAAAATATCTTGTTACTCCATATTTCTTATTATCTCTGTTTATTTTAATTATAAATTATTGCATTAATTTCAGAATTCTATAAAAAAATATATTTTTTAATTATTATTTTTATTTATTTATTAATATTTTTATATAAAATATCTCCTTATTCCTTATCTACTTGATTTGATGACTTTTACCTAACATAGACTGATGAGACATCCTCTTCTCTGTTTCTCCAGGGTAAAAAGGGTGATGCAGGATTGCCAGGAGTTGATGGTCTTCCAGGACCACCTGTAAGAACCACCAGAACATTCAGTCTTAGTCTGAGTCAAGCTCTTTACCCTTTATTTTTCCTGTCAAGTGTGTTTTTTTATGTTTGGAATGGAATAATAACATACTGTTTACCGTATATTGTATTTTAAGGCAGAATGCAACAACAAATATTTTAACAAATAGTAGGTCTTTTACTTATTTCATGCATATGGAAACTTAGTATGCTATGCAAAAATAGTATTATGGCTATATGACATTCTTAACATTATTATCTTAATGAAAAAAGTCTCTTAGAGTAACAGTGAACTCTAACTAACAAAATGAACAAGTTTCTGGTAGAATCACATGCAGTGATCATATAATACAGTAATAACATAATATTGTTACAATTTTGAAAAAAAGAAAACGTGAATGCATTGATTACAGAAAGCTATTAAAAGCAATTGAATGTCAAATTTCAACATTTCAGTTTTTCAGTTTTTTATTTAACAAATAGTAGGTCTTTTACTTATTTCATGCATATGGAAACTTAGTATGCTATGCAAAAATAGTATTATGGCTATATGACATTCTTAACATTATTATCTTAATGAAAAAAGTCTCTTAGAGTAACAGTGAACTCTAACTAACAAAATGAACAAGTTTCTGGTAGAATCACATGCAGTGATCATATAATACAGTAATAACATAATATTGTTACAATTTTGAAAAAAAGAAAACATGTGAATGCATTGATTACAGAAAGCTATTAAAAGCAATTGAATGTCAAATTTCAACGTTTCAGTTTTTCAGTTTTTTATTTTTGTGTTTTTTTTTAGGGTCCTCAGGGGCCTTCTGGCCCTCTAGGCAGCCCTGGACAAACAGGACCTCCAGTAAGTTTACATTCACCAACATAATTCGTTTTTTCAATTGTTTTTATTTGCAAACTGAGCTAGAGCCACATAATAGTAGCAGATGATATTAAATTCATCTGTTTGTTCTCACAGGGATTACCTGGTGAAATAGGCTTCTCAGGAAAACCAGGAGAACCAGGAAAACTAGTGAGATTTTACCCTGAGACCTCAAACATACTGTCCACACACTCAAATAGTCTGTTGCCCTATTAACTCAACACTCATTTTAGTGTAAAAACTTGAAACGATGGTAATTATTTTTCAGGGCCTGCCAGGAAAAGATGGATTGGATGGTTTCCCTGGAAACAACGGCGAGAAGGTTAGAGCTGTTTTAATGAGGCAAACTGTGAACTTCATCATTTATAAACCCATCTAAAGGCCAGATCTGGTTTTTGACCTTTTCATATGTGTTTTTTGTTGTACTGCAGTCTGTTTTCATTATTTTGTATTTCTGTTTAGGGCCAAAGAGGAGAACCCGGACAGGACGGCTTCCCTGGTAAACCCGGACCGAAGGTAAAGGGTAGTGTGGGCTAGTGATTTCAGATCTGGGTTGGAAATCCATTTTGTTTTTTCATCAATGCCAGTTTCTCTCTCTCAGGGAGACGAAGGCCCTCCAGGACCACGAGGACCTCCTGGTGAACGGGTGCGGAATGTAAAACTTAAATCAGTCTAGACAGAGCCTTGACAGAAGGACACATGCCACAACTGTCTTTCTCTTTGCATCTTGTTCTGTCTCAGGGAGAGCCTGGTTTGCCTGGAGAGGTCGGCACAATAGGACCCATAGGAGAGAGAGGAGGCCAAGTAAGACAGAACTATATGGACAGCACTATATGCTGTTTTGAAGTCAAAATCAGATGTTTCATTGATTAAAAGAATCAATAGGCTCTACTATAGAAAAAAAAACACTCTCTTACTGTGAGGACCATCATCTGTTCACTTGGGTGCTTCTCATAAAAACATGTTCAGCCTATATTTCACCGCAAAGATTATGAGAAAATATAAAAAAAAATCATATTCTGCATGAGACAGATTAATCTGTAGAGTTATTAGTGTCAGTTTATGCATATTGTTTAGGTGGTTTTGTTTGAGTCATTTTTTTTGTCAGATTTCATCCCTCCATCGCTCTTATAGGGAGAGAGAGGAAAAGATGGACCTACTGGCTCGAAAGGAGAGAAAGGAGACAAGGTGAGAGGCAAGAGAAAGTTAAAAAATGCAGATAGTGATTATTTTGTCATGAAATATTGGTCAAAAGATTGTACACAGTTAGAGTTAATGAAATTGTTGTATATATAAAAAATAAAATAACATTTAATATAAAGGCTTATGCTTAAATTATTGAAATGTACATATATATTATATATTATTTATATATAAAATATATGAATAAAAATGTTTAACATATGTTGAAACATTAGGGCATATATATGTTGAAACGTATATATGATCAAATTAATAGTTTTATAGATGCACATCAGTAAAGATAATATTTATAATGTTAAAAAATATTTATTTTTCAAATAAATGCTGTTCTTTTGATCCAAAATTATTAAGCAGCACAACCATTTTCAACATTGATAATAATAAGAAATGTTTCTTCAGCAGCAAATCAGCATATTAGAATGATTTCTGAGGGATGTTCTTTTAAAATGTTGTAATATTTTACAATGTTACTGTTTTGCAATGTTAATGTACTGGATTTTTGATAAATTTAGATTTAATGCTTTTAAGAACATGAAAACTCCTATTGAATGTTTGTGTGCCTAGTGATTTCATAGTTATGATTATTTAATACGACTAAAATAGACACCTACTCATTCTTAATTTTTGTCTAAGACTCATTTTGTTTAAATGCACAATTGCCTACAAGTCACATCTGTGTAATGACTTTTGCTGTATCAACATTACAGCATTCTACAGTAAAGAAGGCTTAGAGAAGCCGTTTTTGACCATGAGTTGCTGTAGGTTTCACACATTCATGATTAAACTGTCAGCGATGGTTTCCTGAGGGCATGAGGTCATTAATGAGATAATTAACATGCTGACAGGATGAGGATATAACCTCTGTTACTGTTTTTCATTCATACAGGGTGAGATTGGCCCCAGGGGTCCAGCCGGGGTCCCAGGCAATGTGAGTACAGCTGATCATTGACATATACTATATACAAACATGTAACTATATAAATATACAATTATAGATGATTTAAGTAATGATAATAATAATAGCTGATATCTGATGTGAGTAATAAATCAGATAAATGAGCATAGAAGTGGCATATTCATATATATGTATATTTTTAATCATGTATTGATTCAGCTGATGATCTATTTATTGATGAATATGGCTTTTAATTCATAGTATTACAGTATTATTTCACAGTGATGTGTTTTCTTTTTCTTTAGGTGGCCAATGTGATTCCTGAACCTGGTGAACCGGTAAGTCATCAGTTTTGTCTTGATTTTGAGCTTATTTTGAGTAATAAAGTATATTTTGTATTATATATCATATTTTGAGAATAGTTTATTAATAGATATTTTGAGTACATCTATTAACATAAGCATCTTACACATTTTGCTTAAAGTGTGCTTGTGCTGTCTTTGTTGAAACTAAATGCCACTTGGTTTGATATTTTGTTATTTAATGCATTTATTTCTAAGCTCTGAAATACTTTTGGGGGCCGTTGTATCATAATGAACCAGATATTTTACCTGATTTGCATTCATGTATATTCACTGTTTTTACCTCATCTTTAGGGTAAGCCAGGAGAGAAGGGAGAGAAAGGAGATCAAGGAAAACCAGGCGAGATGGTGAGCTTTTATTGTTTCTAACTTCCAAATGAATTGCATGTGTAATAAAGGAACCCATGCAGGTTGTACAACCCATCACAAGAGGGCAGTAGAGAGTCAGGTTTGGTTGAATTACTAGTCTCTTGTGCCTGTGAAAATTATTTCATTTATAGCATCACGTTACTGTCACTAGTGCATTCATAATGCAAACAAATGAAGTCTGCTGTCAGTTTGAAGAATCAAATCCACCTGAAAAGGAACAGTGGAATATGTGCATTTCATTTCTGAGAACAGCCACTTCAAGTGTTTTACGCATTAGCTGACAATAAATATTAAGGGATTCAGTGCTGCACAAGGGAATATTAATAAACCTGAAGGTCAGGGGCATCGCATCCCGTCAGATGATATTATGTACCTCTGTTGGCTCACATTAAAACCACCATTACGCCATTGGAGACATTTGCAGGTGAAGGTGCCTTTTCGCCACAAGCAATTAAAGGGTTAGTTCACCCAAAAACTGAAAATTAGCCCATGAATTACTCACCCTCAAGTCATCCTAGGTGTATATGACTTTCTTCTTTCAGACGAATCCAATCGGAGTTATATTAAAAAGTGTCTTTGATCTTCCAAGCTGTTTAATGGCAGTCAGCAGGTGTTGCAGTTCATCAGTCCAAAAGAAGTGAAATAAAGCACATCCATCCATAATAAAAAGTGCCTCACACGGCTCCGGGGGGTGAACAAAGTCCTCCTGTAGCAAATCGATGCGTTTTTGTAAGAAAAATATCCATATTCAAAACGTAATAATCACTTTAATCTAGCTTGCGCCAACAGTTGTACATGGAAGCAGTTCTAGGCGGATGATGTATGAGGTCAGCGTTGCACATGCGCCGCTCAGACGTGACGCACGCAGAAGCACAGGGGAGAGATCAAAACAAAACAACGGTCACTAATTAGAAGTACAAATCGAGGATTTGTAAAGAAGAATGTCGCAGGATTTCGATATAAGCCAAGAGGAGACTAAAGTAAGGAAACTTTGCTTCCTTTGCTTCTGTAAACAAACGTTGGTTTTCACGAGACTAACCGGCGCATGCGCAATGCCGACATCTTACGTCATCCTCCCGGAGCTGCCTCCGTGTACAACTGTTGGCACAAGTTAGATTAAAGTGATTATTACGTTTTGAATATAGATATTTTTGAAAAAAGAAAGTCATATACACTTAGGATGCCTTGAGGGTGAGTAATTCATGGGCTAATTTTCATTTTTGGGTGAACTAACGCTTTAAAAAAGCAGATCCCGTGCATCTATCCACAGATTAGTGCTATTGCAGGAAGATGGCCAAGCAATGTGTTATTTACAGATTTACTGTAGCTGTTAAAACTTAATAATGATTTATTGATTCTAAATCGTTGACATTTTGGTTTTGACACATCCAAAATTAGATTTTTTGCTCTCTGCTTTTGATCCCTTGACTAATAATATTAAAAGATAAAATAAAGCAAATAAGTCTAAAATTCCAGACAACTCAACCACATCTGCACAGGACATCAGTTTATAAATATCAAGGTGAAAGTTTGGAATATTTGAATATTAATTAGATAACATGACTGAGAACGTGTGGGCTAATTAATAATTCATCAGGTCACTTCCTCTATATTGACATCATGACCTGCCCATCTTCAGCCTCCTACTTTAATACTTTTTTCAGGGCTGCTACTCAAGGTATATTACATTACGTTTTATTATATTATTAGGTATTATATTGTTTTATATTATATTAAAATTTGAATTCATGAAAGCTCTCTCCATCATGCACTCATCTACTAAAGTAGTCCAGACACCAAGCGATACATCATTTATATAAACACAGACAAGCTTGTTACGGTGATGTATCTGCTCTCACCTGAATTTATTAGTGTGAAATGAGAAATCTCTCCTGAATTACTGCAGTTCTCCCTAGTTCAGCCAAATGCAATCATATCTGCTAGAGAAACTGCCTTGACGACATCTAAAACTAGAGCCAGGTTTCATTTCTGGAAACTTTGCGAACGGAGATTACAAAGTCACCAAGAAAGTGT